ACCATTATAACCCATGCACTCACTTCATGAAACCCAACAAATGACACCACCATCACAACTCACTTCAGGAATCCAGTGCCTCAATGTTTCATCAATGAAAATCTTTTGTTTTTATTTATTTTAATTGTTTCATGATACATACCTTCATCTGTGACTTCTCTCCAAAGACATAGAGTGCTGCTTTCCTGGCTGCTATTGGTATGAGACCACCATCCTTGCTATCTGCTCCGTTTTCTCCGGCTCCTATTTTTTGTGCGAGACGAGCACCAACATCGGTATTTAAAGTTCCACTATTCATTTGGCCGCTACTTGAGATCCTCAAGCTGCCCCATTTAGTGAAACCTACATATGTAATATGGTGCGAAAACAAAATACACCAAAGCAGCCCAAGTCAACCATTGCGGGAGGGTAAAAATAAAAGTGAAAAGGAAAGAAAGAAAATAAAAAAACACACACATAACAAATTTTAAACTTAAAAATTAATTGAGTGCATTCAGGCATGACCAATACAACTTTAATACCAGATACAAAAATCGACAAAAGAATTATTGAAACTTTCTATTTGAACATTAGACAGGTCAAAATACAGGAATGAAACACTGAATTCAGTTTAATTTGATAAAATGACAAATATTGTAAATAGAGAGAATAGTTAACTATTATTGATTTTCAATGAAACAAACCTTCTCTTTTCATCAAATTTTTAGTTTTCTTTAAATTTATTCAATTTAATGTTGATTTGAAGAACAAAACACAGAGTATGTAAGATTCTGACTGAAGAATTGAAAATTTTGATTATATGTTTCATTGTAATAGGGACTTTTGGTGAAAGGTTACTTAGATTGGGAAGAGTAGTGAAGAAGTTAGAAAAATTAATTACGTAATCCTTGGATATTGTTTTGCACTAACAACAAATGTAAATTTTGAGTTATAAATAAACATCCCAAATTTTAGGTATACTATGCAGGTGTCAGACTTCAAATTGAATGTCAAATACTATTTCCATGAACCACATTACAGTTTAAATTCACCCAGGAAAAAAAAGATATTTCTAAAGGGAACATAAACAAAATACACACAAAAATAAAAAAAAAACAATAGATAGCATAAGACAAGACAAAGCAAAGAATAGTTGCGAAATATCATGCAAGGAATTGAATCTTTACCACCAGAGTCAAAGCAGAGCGGTTGCTATGGTGTAGGCCAGTGTCAGCCATTTTGTTTTCATTTTCATAAGGTAATAGAAATTGGATCACCTGAGAAAGTTTCGGAGGTTCCACATAAGGTTAGTGCACATACTACATATAGGAGGTTTCAATGGGTCAGCTGGCTACTCTTAAATATGTTAATCAGAACCATGCATATTTATGACCTTCATGCAAATCTGGCTATGTCGCTACATAGTAACAAAGCACTCTCCTGTCTGGGATGTTCATTACAACTCAGGGTATTTATATGTACAAATTGCACAGTTGGGAGAATCCACAATATTCCTTTCAATTCTGAGTCCATAGAGCATGTTATTATCAAATTATTTCATATAATGAACATCCCAGTGACAGAAACTTCGCTTAGATTTTAAAGATTTATAAATGCAAAGCAATCCATAATAGTAAGGTTTGCAATATAAAAGTAAGTTCTACATGAGTTAGTAGACTCAGCAAAGATAATCAGCATTGCATTGAAATTCCCAATTCTGTTAAGTATGATCATTTTTACCTCCCCAGCCTCACTCTATTTTAGTAAATTTGGGCATTCAGACAATACCATGTGAATCATGGAAAAGCAAGGAAAATGGTCTTAAATACCTCACCCCAAAAAAAAATGAAATCAACATTATAACCATTTTTTGTGTGTATTTTCATCAATTTTTAGAGAAACACGCTACACTGAGTCAAAGTAACAAGAACCAGATTTGCATGGTCAAAGGTCATGTAAAAAGAAGTCTGCTATAAAGTCACTATCACTGCAGAAAGGAAGAGGTGTATTTTAACATAGAAATAATAATAGTTACTACATATTCATCAGTGTAAATAAATAAAGGGGTTGCCTTTACAGTTTTCTTTCTTGCAATATTGGGGAAAATGTTACCTTTGAGCGTATTTCCAGCTTTCCCACCACTCCCTCTAATTCCAGTCATTGCTCGGTAGATGGCATTCGGACCATGATGCACTCTGCGCGGGCTCTCATGACCTTGTGGCGGTGAGCCCGATGTCTCGGATGTAGGAGTAAGGACGGAATTTAAACTAACCAATGAATCGGTGTTGTGGTGGCTACCGACTGGTGTATTGGCTACCACAGCATGGAAGAACTTCTCTTGTTCAACGCTGCGGCTGGTTTCAGTTGAAGTGCCTATTGGAGGGGACAGGAGAAGAATGCTCAGATTGTAATAGAAATATAAGTAGTCAAATTTTAGAAGTAAAATCAAGAATTCACTATGTTCACGTAAATACCATCATTTAGGAAAGGGTTCAGTACATTTAAAAGATAGGCCTCTCGGAATTCGTTTCTTGAAAAAGGAAACTGGAAACTTTACTCATGAGTATGACATTAAACCAGGGCACCGGACATACAAATGAAAAGATGGCGAGAAGATTTCAGTAAGCAAATCACATTTCATGGCGTTGCATCTTAATGCATGGAGATTTTTTCTACAATATACAATCATGAATATATACAGAATATGCTTTAAATGTTAGTTTACAAGTAGGGCAAAATTTATGAGGTAATTCTGATTTAAAAGTTGACAGAAGGCATGTTTTAAATAGCTATGAGAAAGATAAAAACAACTGTCAATCCAAACTGCAAGATCTTAGCACACAAGATTTACACCTTGGGTTTGCATGCATAGCAATACCCCTCAATAAAATGGCATGACCCAGGAAACCAGTGAAATATACCTGTAGATGTGTTTTGTACAGATGACTTCATCATTCCCATCACTCCTTTGCCATGGAAACCACTACACCTTAGTAACAAGGCTTTTGTTCTTGGGTGTCTCCAGCAAATTGCCGGGAATCGGTTTTGACGGTGACACTTCGCCAACTTGCGTATACTATCATCGGTCATATTCGATGGCACAACAATCAGAGCCGGGTAACTGGGAAAGAATTGCATATTGTGATAAAAAGCTGAATCAAACAATCCAATCAATGCATGAAATAGACAAGAAAAGATATGTACTTGAACATCAGTTTATATAAAAGTAGTGTTCTCTCTTTATAATTAATAAACTGACACATGAAATGTAACATTAGATACTTATATGGCAATCGCAGATTATAACAATAAACTGTACATATGCAGGTTGTTCTGGACAGATTATCGAAGAATATGGAAGTGGTGGAATGACTGAAATTAGACCTCACCTTCTACACACTGCATATTTTAGATTGATATCAGAAATCCGGAACGGTTCAGTCGTTTTTTGTCTGCTTCCGGCTCCCGGAGTTCCTAAACCAAGCCTCTGATAATCTTGAACATAAGGCCGATCCATCATTTTATCGGCAGTCATCTGGTCTGGTGGTTTCAACGTGTTTGTCTGGATCTCAATTTCAGATTCATCTATGGCAGCTACAAATGAAGAACGTACACTAGATTTACTTGTCAATATACCAACAGATTTGATGTATGCTGACTGATAGACGTTGATTTCAATTTTGACGCATTCTGTGAGTAATTTAAAGACAGCAGATTTCTTCAGACAAAGCAATGTTTTAAATAATCATTTTCACAAAACAATTCAATGCTATAAATGAATTAAGATCAGGTTCAAGACACACAACATTCAGCATGGGATAAAAAATGTGCTTTTACATCAATGTTTGATGCATGGATGTACTTAAACAATGTGTCAATTACGGGAAATACACTACGACCAGATGCAAACAATTATAGACTTGACAGAAAGGGGAGGGAAAGGGGGGGGGGGAAACAGACTGGCAACGATGCAACACAGACTTTTAATTTTTAAACACTGATATGATTAGCTGCACATTTCACTCTAGATATATATGAGCTGGGAAAACCAGAAACTGAAAATATTTTCAGAATTTCACAAGTTTCCTATACATATGGCATGCTAAAACATTAATTAGAAAACAGTGTTCTGAGCAGATCCGACCTCTATGTTCTAGAGTACTCCAATTAAATTTGATTAAAAATTGATCTATCATTTGAATAATTGGCTGTTAATTTATTGCTTGCATAATAATGATGACAATGGAGGTGATGTGAACAGAGTTTAAGGTTAATTGGAACAATAGTCAACCTTCTGGCGGCGGTAGAGTTGCATATCCTAGATCTGGTGAGGAGGTAAATGGATTAAAGCAAAAAATAACAAGAAATTAGTATGTTAGTTTTTTAGTACGGGATATTTAGGATCGCTTTAAGAGAGGAGACTGCGATCGCTGCAAAACGGCATACTAGTTAGCAACACAACTTCCAAGCACCTCCCTATAATACAGTCAGTGCATTCTTTAATTAAGAGATGACAGATTGACAAGGTATGAACTAATTATTTAGAATAAAGTACTACATGCGAGTTGCAATTGACACGATTCCTGGAAGAAAATAGACAATATGATTTTAGACGACAGTTTGTATACCTACACCAGGTCAATGTAAACAAGTAGTCGACACTCGCTAATCGCACACCTTCAAAATGCAAGATGAAGTAATCTACAACCACATCATCTGTGGGGTTGGAATGATTTTCATTAATTATGAAACACCATGCGAGAGATTGAAATAAAAAATTTGGTATACGGTATATATATTTTATTAAACCCATAGTGATTAGTAATTTGAATAATAACGATAATATACATCACCCACCAGCTTGCACTGAAGTGCCCAAAACAAATAAAAAATAAACAAACTTACAACATAAGTTTGATCAATGCAGGTCAAAATTGCATTGACTATACTAAATTTCCTTTTTATTTAATACACGTCCTTTTTGGGGTGAAGTGAACATGAAAAAAAATACATGTAATACACTATGTTTTTCATGATCACTACACCCTTTTACGATCAGTCCACCACTTTTATTTTTTATATTTTTGAAAATGGCGACTTGTAAGAAAGTCTAATCAATTTTAGTTCAACCAACATGTGATTTGGAAGTTCATTTTTTTTCTCAATTACAGCAAATAATTTTACATTTGTGTGTATTTCAAAATTAGTGTTTAATGATATACCAGTACTGCTAAATTAAAGTGCTAATTTAGTAGTTCCATGCAAATTTTTAAAACACAACGAAACGAGCGGAAAAATTCATTGAATAACAATGAAGACACGAGAATGATCGGATACGTTATGATATTAAAGTACTATACCCTGATCCAAACAACGTACTACTTTTGGCATCTATGAAACCATGCATAATTAAGATGAAACATCACAGCAAAACTTACAAACCACACTCTATATGTACCGGTATGTTCAAATTAGTTTTAACACCAGTAAACACCTAATCCACAGAATGTGACAACGATGCCGAAGACGCTTCTAAAAAGTAGGAACCTCCTTAAAAAAAGCGACTGCTTTAAATCTTGAAATGTGTTCATGTTCTTTATAAATCAAAATTGGAATGGGATCAGTTAAACTAGGCCTTCCACATGCAAACTAAAAATTATCAAGCAGATACAAAAAACACCCCCCAAAAAACCCATGCAATGTGTGTTTTTAATAATAATAATAATAATAACTAAACTCAGGAAAAAGATAAAATACCGACCTCTCTTGCTGTTCGCTTTCATAGTTGGGAGAGTATGAGTCAGGGTTAAATCAGTGAAATCAAAATGGACGACAGGAGCTAAGAAGTACGGGAGGAAAGAAAACAAAATAAAAACAGAAAAAGAAGGATCTAAAATTAGACAGCAATAAAAACAAATTCACAGTGCTATGAATGCAATGATGGTGGATTCTAATATTCGAACAGTCAGTTAGCAAAATGACTTGCAACTTTGCAAAACACTTTGGTCTTTGCCCAATCTAGACTTGTCCGTGCCACTTGATTGACGGGCGCGTGGTTTAGGATTGCTATTTCAGAGGGGTTGTCGGCAAGGTGAATTTGCGTCCATGTATCCCTGACGTACTCTCCTACCTCAGAATAAAATTTGAATGTGATAGATAATGCACCAGTAATGTAAAAACAACTTTTAGTTTAGCTCAAAACTGTTCAGCGCGTCCAATGCTAAGAAACTTCACTTTGAGCCTTTCCGCCAACGACGAGCTCATTAATACCAGGGGTTACTCAACACTCAGGAGTTGTTTGGTAAATTGCGCTATGTCAGGTGGACTCAGCTGGTTATAACAATTTAAAATAACACTTTGAATGCATACAACATATAACCTGTTAATGTATGGTAACTAGCACGTGTTGTTTTGAAAACAGCGTTTTACCCGCATCTAACAAGATAATGGAATGACCACAACTGTGGGCGTGCCAATACAACAGCGCGATCAAGTCTAGATTGGAAAAGACCAACGTGTTTTGCAAAGTTCCAAGATATATTGCTAACTGACTGTCCGAATAATCCTCAGAACGGCTGTAAAACCACCAATTACAGGGTGGTTTCAAGGGAGGTTCTCAATATTTCATGAAGGATAAAATCAGAAGTCTGATGGTTCCAATCGAAAAAAAACAAACAGATTTAAATCTACCAACACACTGCGCACAGTATTAAATTCTCTATACACCTGCTAAGAAGTTGAAGATGGTGAAGGAGAAAAATAAGAACTAAACCGAGGTCATCATGCGTTGCAATCTCATTGCTAAAACAACACAAACCATGCAATAAATAAAAGTAAGAATTATGATAAGAATGAGAAAACCATGCTGTTACGGATACATCTAATTTCATCAAACGTTTTACAATGTTCCAAGTGTATGTGGCATCAGTGTATAACTGAATGCAATAGAATGAAGACAAGATCAAGGGTAAACATACTATTTCTTTCTACTAAACAGGCCAGCACTGACTGAGGAAGAAATGCTTCAAGTACATTGATTAGTAAATGATGTTAAACATTAATAAGGAAGAGAGAGCAATAATTTTATCTGTTAAAACAAGGACAGTATATAATGCAACTTGTGCAAATCTATTTTGTTAAAATTACTGCTTCAGCATGTATATGGCAATGTGGCAAGAGATGAGATGTTGTTATCTGTCACTATAACCAATTAGAAAAGAAACAGTGTTAGTAAACAGAGGTACCTTCAGTAGTGTCAAGTTGAATATGTGTGGGAGCGGAGAGTGAAATTGACAAACATTTCAAGACATTCGGTTTTGTTACAATTAGATTCTGGGATGGGTGTGTGGCATTCAAGCATGACAATACTGCTGGGCAGTCGGTGTATATAATGCGGTATAAGCACCTGGCCTTTCATCATAGTCGGATATGATTCTTCTTCTGCCAAACGTTGGAGTATTAAGACTTGGAGTGGAACCGGAAGGAAAGTCTATCATACCTACAAGATAAAGTCTTGTTAGTATTAGCGAAGAGTTTTTGTATTAGGGTTTTCTTTTCACTGCTGTCAGTTTTTGCTGGAAATTGTTGGGATCTTTGAGCTTTTTGTTCAAGGTTTTGAGCTGCCTCAGACACCAGAGAGAACTTGCATAAAGGATGGGGCTAGAGGTGGCAAACTGTTGACTTTTAAATTTTCAAGAGATAATAATGGAGCAAAAGTTGATTACAAGGATTTTTTACTATAAAATATTCAAAATGAAAACGCTTTTTAGTGAATTAGATAACATTTCCTAATACTTAAACGATAAATATGATTGACAATTTGGTTAAAAACTGACTGGAGTGAAAGGGTAAAAAGTATGAATATGTAAAACCTTAATAACAACCACCTTTTAATTTGTGATATTACAAGGAACAAAGAAAGAGAATAGAGTTTCATCGTTCAAGAGTATATGGATGATAAAAACCTAAAATAAATAGAATATGAGTAAAAAATGGAAGATTATGGACTTTGCGGGTGTATGTTGTATATAGACATGATAGAATCACATGCACATGGAAAATTCACCGTCTGGATCAGATGCCTGAAATGTATACCAGGGTAAAAGATAGGCATGTCATGTGATCAGAGAGTTCATGTGCAAATAAAGAACTGACACTAACGCCTTTACATGTACAGAAGTACTGACACATACACAAAATGTGCACAGAAAATACCAACATATGCAGTTCATGTGCACAGAAAATACTAACATATGCATGTCATGTGCACAAAAAGTACTGACATATGCATTTCATGTGCACAAAAAGTACTGACATATGCATGTCATGTGCACAAAAAGTACTGACATATGCATTTCATGTGCACAGAAAGTAGTGATATATGCATGTCATGTGCACAAAAAGTACTGACATATGCATGTCATGTGCACAGAAAGTACTGGCATATGCATTTCATGCAAAGAAAATGCTGACAATACCGGAAAAGTAATTTTGCTACCAGTGACAGCTTTCTATCATGAAATATACACTGAAAGTACATACTTTGATGTGCACAAAAAGTATGGACATGCACATACAAAGGCTAATATTCATATTTTAAAATTTCCTTAGCACCCCGAATTTGCAAACAAAATGACTGAACATATGATGCTATGTAAAGCAAGCATGTGTACACCACAACAAATGATAGTGTCTACGTACACGCTGCATTTATAAGACCACATTCGTTGTACACCATACTGCATTCAGACTCCACTGTTTACATTTCAAACAAAGCAAAAACAAGGACAAAAAAATAAATGAATGCCGAGCAGAGTGACACAAAAATGTGGAGATACCAAAGTTAGGAGGTGAACAGTTGTGGCAGTAGATAACACAAGTTTCTTGAAGACATTTACAATGACTTTTGAAAATAGTTTACGATGTAATGAGACAAGGCTGCTGTATACAAACAGAGAGAGACACAGGTAGTAGTTGATTTATTTTACACAACAAAACATGGTGAACTGGTATAAAAGCATGTTGTATTTGGCACGGTGAACAAGGTGAGATAACTAATGGATATATACATTGTTTTACATAATATATTGTCGATGTGTCAATTTTGAAACCCTATCACATGCCAGAGATATCAGTATTTACAACATAATGTAATGTAGAGTTTTTAATCTAAACACAAAAACAATGTGATATGTAACACAATTTTGTATGGTTATAATCATTAGGAATGGGTGCAGACACATTATTAAAGACATTTTAATTCAGTCATGTTTAGGGTGAGGTTACAATGAAAACAACTCGACTGTCGGGCATACTGGACCTTGTGTATTTAGGTGTAACACTGTGTAAGGTCAAAGAATGAAACAAAATCAGACACTGTTTGTCGAAACAATATCCTTGAATTGCAAAACACAGGATCTAAACTAATAGTTCCTGTTTCGTGGTAACAAAAAGCATTTAATACACATATCAATTTGTAACTATGACAACAGTGGCTGTTTTAAAGTGGATAGTTGCTATCTTAGAATGCTTAGGTCAAGTGAAATAACTCACTTATATCATCATCATCTTCATATAGCAAACTGTTAGGGCGACTATCACCTGAGTGCCATCTATTGGCTTGGGCAATGTGGCTCTCCTCGGCACAAGGGGCTCCACTGGCAAGACATATTTCTGTTTCCTTGTGAGTTGCTTGTTTTTCACTCCAGGTTTTCGTGAGGCTGGTCGGAGGAAAGTTTTGGATGCCAGCTTCCTGTGAAACAAAAAATAAGAGATTTCATTTCAAAACAGACTTTTAATTATCAGCAGATACATGCTCTTTAAGTTGCTGAAAATAAACATGTGTGTATTGGTCACTTAGATCAAGATATTAGCGAATTTGATAGCAAACAAAAATTTTATAATACTCACTCACCTTAGAGTGGCAGTTTTATCTTTTTGTTTATGTGTTTGTAACATTGTCGCCGTTGCCACGATGCCATTAAATGCAAACATGTGAAAGATGGACTGTGGATATCGATACTTATTACACATTTTTCGGAACATTTCAATCCTTTCCTGATTGACTTCTTCATCAAATGCAATCTTCATCAACTGTTGACAAAATGTAATACATAAATACATCTTTTTTTAGTGTTTTATCGCATTAAAGACAAATAATACAGCACATTAGTACATAACATAATAGACTGACACAGACTTGTTGTTGTAAAGTATTACAGATGAAATCATTTATGTCAATCCACATTGCTGTCCGAACAATACATTATTGATAACAATTATTGATTGATTCTACTTAGGCCAAGATAAAAAAATAAATCAGGGTTCTCCCCAGAAAAAATGCATAGCGCCGGGGCTAATTTGCATAATAATTTGCATATCATTTACATATCTTTCCTTCATTGATTAACAGAACTTATTTACAATTATGAATATTAGTGAGCTCAGTCACAGGGCAAATATTTTTTTTAATGGAATCAACACATTATGTTTCACAATTTAGAAGAGTTTGAAACATTCTCGAAATACAAATGCTGCAGACTAAAAACAAACACAAAATAAATTATTGTTGCAATTTAATTGTTTTGTAAAACGTTGAAGGAAACGCATTCAAAATGTTAAGCCAGATTTATGTTCACGAATCTCATAATTTTATTCACTCCAAAAACATTCTCCTTCAAAAAATCGATCACGTAATTAATTGACGTATTGTTGTAATTTATTATTCGTACCATCAACTTCTAAAACGTTTACAATTACAGTAATGAGCGAACAAATAAAGCTTCAAAACGATCATCAAAGTTACGACGTGACATAACTTACTTGGCCATGTTATA